GCCGCCCAGTGCAGCCTCTGAGGCCCTAAGCGCCTGCGCCCACTGGCCTTCTTGCAGTCTCTCTCCTCATGATTCCTCCCGCCCCAGGGGCTCTGCTAATGTGCTCCCTGGACCCGGGGTGCTTTTCCTGCCACCCCTTCATGTAGTTGCCTTTCCCTTGTCAAGATGCCACTCTGACTCCTAGACTGGTCAGAGGCCCTATTCCAGGTTCCCATTAACCCTGCCTTAATGTGCTAGTCTCTCTCCTCATGATTCCTCCCGCCCCAGGGGCTCTGCTAATGTGCTCCCTGGACCCGGGGTGCTTTTCCTGCCACCCCTTCATGTAGTTGCCTTTCCCTTGTCAAGATGCCACTCTGACTCCTAGACTGGTCAGAGGCCCTATTCCAGGCTCCCATTAACCCTGCCTTAATGTGCTTATTTGATTAATGTTTATGTCGCTCTCCAAATTGTTAGCTCCGCGAGGGCAGGGGCCGTGTTGGGCCTCACCCTGAAGCTGGGGCCACATTCCTAACCTGCGTGTGGAGGCAGACACACAGTTGAGTGGCATCACCCAGGACAGCCAGGCCAGAGGAAGAGGAAGTCAGGGGGCTGTGGGGGCCGAAACAAGGCTTCTAACCCAGCCTGGGAGTCAGGGCAGGCTTCCTGGAGGAAGTGGGTCATAGAGCTGGGTCCTCTCAATACTCATATTACAGATGTGTAAATGGAGACTCAGAGACGTGTTAACGTCAGTCTGTGCACACACCCTAAGGAATTGTCCAAAGTGACTTCATGGAGAAGCCAGTCAGAGTGAGGGTGCCCCCATTTCTCTGCCCCGCCACCTCCTCCCAGCAGGTCTGACCCACCCGCCCTTGACCACCCTGACCTGGTGCACGTGGTGGGGATCCAAGGATGACGACCAGGGCGATGAGGGCCGCGACAGCTGCCAGCAGGAGCAGCACGAAGGCTGAGAGGCAGGCCCCTCGGCGGGAGCAGCAGGGGGCGGTGCAGCCTGCTGTGTGGAGCAGGAAACCAGAGATGGAGCAGCCAGCGCTGGGGCCCAGGGACCCAGACCCCCCTCCTCTGGCCCTTCCTGTAACTGGCCTGTCTCCACCTCAGTTCCCTGGAGGAGGGGGTTCCTGCCGTGATGCTCTCATTTCTGCCTGTGGGCCCACCCCCACCAAGCGCCAGTCCCTGGCCCCAGTCCTGTCGCTAGCCGGTGGCGGTTGGGATGAGGGTCCCAGGTCTCTGCTCTGCCTCCCTCACACTCCTGTCCTTCCACAAGGAAGCCTCCTCAGGAGGCAGGGAAAGATGGACACCTGCTCTTTGAGCCCCTATCACAGGCAGAAACGATAGCAGGCCCTTCAGAGCCATTCTTTTTATTTTCCGACACAATATTTTATAGATGAGGAAATCGAGGCTCAGAGAAGGCAGAGTTCAGGTCACCTTATGCGGAGCTGAGATGTGAGTTCCGTTATTAGCCATCACAACCAGAGCCCGTTGCATGATGCCGAGTGATTGTCCCTCTGCAGCTGCCAAGATGCTCGTGGGAATCCCGGCTCCCCCACTTCCCAGCTGGGACCCACAGGGACGTCACTTCACTTCTCTGTGCCTGTTCCTTCATGTGGAAAATGGGGGTCATAATGCCTACCACAGGGTTGCTGAGAGGATTAGCTAGTTAATATGTTAAAACAGTGCTTGGCGCTTAGTAAGTGCTATGAAAGTTTTAGCTTTGTTAGCATTTATTAAGCACCTACCACGTGCCAAGCTGTACCCTAAGCACTATGGAAATAACAGCAATAGGAGACACCCTGCTCCTTTAACTTTTGCTTTGCTTGTGATATAATGAAAGGAAGCTCTATCGGGAACCTACTAGGTGTCCTGCTCTGTAGAAGACACAAAAGCAGTTATGGCTCAGGTTGCTGCCCTCTGACAGTCTGTAGTTGCACTTAGAAGGCAAAGCGTGTTGTACTTCTTAATCCCTTCACATTTTTCACCCAGCGGCCCCCTCCCTCCCAACACAATCTCCTCTGGCAACCATCAGTTTGTTCTCTGCATCTATGTGTCTGTTTCTAAAAAAAAAAAATAAAGAAGGCAAAGCATGTAGGTTAAAAGAGGAGAGTGGGTACAACAGCTGTCCTCTGGGCCCCAGTTATTATTTCAGAGAAAGAAGCAGAACAGGTCTGATGCGTCTCTGTCCCCAGGGTCCAGCCCAGAGGCAGGCACACAGTAGGTGCTTTGTGAATACTTTGACCCTGAGCTCCAGGACACAAGGAAAGGGCCCCCACCTGAGGTCAGTTCGGGGCATTTCCATTCAATCCACTCATATTTGTGGAGCTGCCTATTCTGCTCTCCTGCTAGTCACATCTGTCCCTGTGCAGCTCACAGAGCCAGGTAGTAAGTGTGGTTAAGGAAGTGTGAGTACGGTGCCTCGGTGCTCAAAGGAGGGTGGGGTTTCCAAGAGCAGGTGAGGGGAGGGTGCAAAGAGAGGAGATTCAGGTAGAGAGCATAGGAGGAGTACGGTGTGTGGTGTGTGGGGGACAGCAAGGGGCCTGGTGTGGCTGGACCCTGGAATGGGTGTGTATTGGGAAAGAAGACAATAGTAGGATATACAGCATAAATCTAATGAGCCCTAGTTGGTGGTTTCCTTGTTGTTAGCAAACACGGGGTAAACTCAGGTAACCAGGGCGACAAGATGGTGTGAGGCTGGGCAAGAGGAGTGTCCTGGTCAGCCGAACCGACACGCCTCAGATATTTGTGCAGCGCAGGCTGTGGGCAGCAGGGGGCACAGGAGCCTCCGGCAGAACTGAGGCCCCTGCCCAGATGAAGATGCTGCCCTCCAAAGCTGGGAGGCCCTGAGGGCCCGTTTCCCTCGGGACAGATGAGGAAAAGGAGCCCTTTGTTCTACAGTCATGCCCACCGTGAGCCAGGACTGGAAATGAACACAGATGGGTGGCACCACCCAGGAAAGACACACAGATGGGTGGCCATCTGAACATCAGTGTGGAGCAACAAAGACTGGGGCTTTGCAATCAGTGGGACCCCAATTCAAAATTGAACCCTGTCTCTCCCACCTCCCAGCTGTGTGGGATTCCAGTTTGGCCAAGCTACCCGATCTCTCTTAGCCTCAATTGTCTCAGCTGTTATTGTCCCATAACAGGAGCCCCTCTCAGAGCTATCCTGAGGGTTTAAAGAGACCTTACCATGCCAGAAACATCATAGGGCCCTGATTCTTTTTTTTTCTTTTTTTTAATATATTTTATTGATTTTTTTTTACAGAGAGGAAGGGAGAGGGCAAGAGAGTTAGAAACACCGATCAGCTGCCTCCTGCACATCCCCAACTGGGGATGCCCACAACCAAGGTACATGCCCTTGAACGGAATTGAACCTGGGACCCTTGAGTCTGCAGGCTGACGCTCTATCCACTGAGCCAAACCGGTTAGGCCCCTGATTCTTCGTAGCTATGATTGGTATTTACCTCTCTGGGTCTGCTTCCTCCTTGGTCAAATGTGGTCAAGACACGGCACATAATAGCTGCTCAATAAATGTGAGTTCCTTTCTTTCAACTGCCCTCATTGCACAAATCAATGGCACATAGTAGGTGCTAAATAAGTGTGTGATTCCACCTACTTTATCTCAGTGGTAAAGAAATTGCCTAGGTCACCCACGGTGTCAAGTATCTGACTGCAGAACCCTTTCCTTATAGGTTACAGGTGGGCTCTGTATGTGGTGCAGTCCCTGTGAGGTAGGCAGTATACAGTAGGTGCTCAACAAATGCTTGTGGATGGAGAGAATGAACCACCACATTAAGCAGGTGGCTGTCAGCATGGCTGGCCAGGAAGTTGGGAGTGAAGGACATCGGCATAAGGGGCAGCGGCCTGAGGGACAGTGGCAGCCTTAGGGTGCTCTCTTTGTGCCTCTGTAGCAACGGTGCAACCTCAGGGAACCCAGGCCCTCCATCCATTACCTTCTCCCGGGAGGACTTTGGTCCCAGCAGCAGCATTGCCGTTGATGTCCCCCTGCCCGAGAGAACAGAGTGAGGAGTGGGCGTAGGTGAGTGAAGTCCAGCCTCACGGAGCCACACTGGGAGCCTCAGATGGAACCACTGGCCCCTCGCAAAAATACTCATCATGCCTGCTTCACATTTCCACACCTTTGCCTGGACTGTGCCCTCCGCCTGGAAGGACTTTGCCCCCACCGTCCACTTGGTAACACATCCTTCAAACCAGCTCAGGTGGCACCTCCTGGGAGAGGCTTTCCCTGACGCCCCCTCCCATCATGTGGATGGATCCCTCCCCGACACCCCCTCCAGAGCAGCGGGGAGCTGAGCTAACTCAACATCTCTCCTTCCCTAGGCTGGCTTCCCAGGTCAGGAGCCAGCTCACGGCAGATCTTACCTGGGGGAAGACCTTGTTCATGTCTCCAGCTCCTAGCTCCCAGCTCTAGTCTCTGGTCACTGGAGTTGATGTGTAGAATTCAGCTCAGGTTCCCTGCCTTGTCACCAGGGCAGCCTGGAGGAGGGAGGACAGAAGGCCCTGCCTGGCCGCACCCTCCCTGTGGGCAGTCCCTTTGCAGGCTGCCTCCCAGGCCAGGAAAGGGAAGGAGGGCCCTTCTCCTGCCCAGCCTCTCCCCACCCTGCATCTGAGGGCAAGGCTCCAAGGCTGCTGAAATCCTCCTCCCGGATGTGAGGGCGATCTGGCTGCGACATCTGTCACCCCATTGATCGCCAGGGTTGAAATCCTCCTCCCCATTTGAGAGACAGAGAGCCTGAGGTACAGAGAGAAACAGCCCTCAGGTCACACAATATGGGATTGGGGGTGGGGGTTTGAAATCAGGAGCTTTTCAGGGCGTGCTTTTTCCTCCATGTCAGCGATGAGACTGGAGGCTCTCAGCACCCGGGGATCGGACCTACACCGGCAGTCAGATATCCCTCTCGGACCTAAACCGGCAGTCAGATATCCCTCTCACAATCCTGGACCGCTGGCTCCTAACTGCTCACCTGCCTGTCAGCCTGATCACAATTTGAAAAGCCCTGTCCCTACTCCATGCTGGTAGACTACCCTTTTCCTATGGGTTTCATACCTGGTGAATTGCTTTTTCCCATCTCTTTCCCACTTTTTTATGGGTGGTTTGTCTTGTTCTTATTGATTTACGGATTTCTTTATGCTGAATTGAATCATTTGTTACATGGGTTATACATCTCTCTCCCAGTCTGTAGCTTGTCACTTGCTTAGAGTGACTTCGGCTGGCTCCCTCTGTCTTTCTTGCCCAGACCAGGTAAAAGTCTCACTTCATGAAGCCTTCTTTCACTCTCCCTGCTCCCCTGGGTTTACCTTTCCCTGCATTTCTTATGGTCTGGCTGTGGCTAGGTGACCCTCTGGACATGAGATCAGCAAACCCCAGCTTGAGTCAGACAGACCTGGGTTTTCATCCAGACTCTGCTAAGTTAATACCTATATAATTTAAGGTGGCCAATCACAACCTCTCCAAGTCTCAGTTTCCTCATCTGAAGAATGGGTATAAGAATACTTACCTCATAGTTGTGAGGATAAAGTGAGTGCACATATGTGAATGTTTCTGTAGCCTGTGAAGATGCCATATTATTGCTGGATGCCTCACAGTCTGTCTACAATTACAAAGGGATTTGCTTGCGGCCTGGGACTGCCTCTAACTCCAGGCCTCAACTCTGAGTTGGGAGAATGCTAAGTGGGCACCACAATTAGATTGACCCAGGGACCTGGAGATCTGCTTCCAGACCTGGATAGAGATGAGGCACTGTCCCCACCTCAGCGCTCATCACTCCTCCTATGCATTCCTCAAGTCTCCGAGCCCTGGCTGGCCACCTCTCCTCTCAGAGACTGTTTCCTAACTCCAAAATGGAGATGTTAGACCCCATCCTGCTCTTCTAGGGGGATGTTGCAAGGACCCATTTAAGGTGAAAGCGGGAGTGCTAGAAAGAGCTTTGGAAAAGTCACAGGAATCAACAAATTCCCTTGTGAAATACCTTATGTAAGTAGACACTTTTACAAGACAGAACTATAATATTGTTTAATGCAGATGATCCAAATTTGACTGACATTTACAGACTTAAGCATTATTAAATTAACAGAGGTGGGGTTCCAATGAATTCATGATGGTCGATCTTGAGGTAACATTATCAAGAGCTTTTGTTGAAATCTCTCATTTCTAATCCGTTGCTAATTTCTTTTCACCCAAGCTTTCAATTATTGCTGTTCCAATGTTGTAAAAACAGTCTACACTAATAATAGAGGAATATGCAAATTGTCCAGGATGCCATCACAATAACGACCAGGCTGCATGGGGTGACGAGGCCAGCAGGGGGATTAGTGAGGGATGACCAACAACTGAACAGCAGGCTGCATGGTGGGTGGCAAGAGGGGCAATTGAGGGTAACCAGGCTGGCTGCGGGGGAGGGGGGCGGCAGTTGGGGGCGATCAGGCCAGCAAGCAGAGGTGGTTAGGGGTGATCGGGCTGGCAGGCAGGTGACCAGTTAGGAGCTAGCAGTCCAGGATTGTGAGAGGGATGTCTGACTGCTGGTTTAGGCCTGATTCCGGAGAGGGTGCAGGCTGCGCTGAGGGGACCCTCCCACGCACAAATTTCGTGCACCGGGCCTCTACTTGAAGTACAAAAAGCATAGGAGAAGTAGTAAAAGAAGCCCAAATAATTTAGAATTGAACGAAGATTCTACTCTTAGAGATGCCAAAGCAAGTCTGCTGTTATGGCTCAGTGGTTGAGCATCAACCTATGAACCAGGAAGTCATGGTTCAATTCCCGGTCAGGGCATATGCCCAGGTTGTGGGCTCAATCCCCAGTGGGAGGCAGCCAGTTGATGATTCTCTCTCATCATTGATGTTTCTCTCTCTCTCCCTCTCCCTTCCTCTGTGAAATCAGTAACAAAATATTTTTTTTAAATGACAAAGTACTGCCCTAACTGGTTTGGCTCAGTGGATAGAGCGTTGGCCTGCGGACTGAAAGGTCCCAGGTTTGATTCCGGTCAAGGGCATGTACCTTGGTTGCGGGCACATCCCCAGTAGGGGATGTGCAGGAGGCAGCTGATCGATGTTTCTCTCTCATCGATGTTTCTAACTCTCTTCCTTCCTCTGTAAAAAAAATCAATAAAATATATTTTTTTAAAAATTAAAAAAAATGACAAAGTACTATCAGGCAACTTCTGAACCAGGAGTTCAGTGAACTTGGATGGGAGAAACTTACATCATTTTTTCACTAACTTAACTGAAAGATAGCATTTCCTTTAGTTATGAACAGAGGCAACAATTGAGAGCAGTATTAGCAGTACCTGTGACTTTATCACCAATAGAAGTCACATTTAGATATCAAATTATGGTTGTTGCATATGTTTCGAAATAATAATTTGATATTGCATCATAGAAATTTCTGAGACAAGAGTGATAGACTAGATGATCTGATAATTATTTACTAAAAATATCTATATATTTAAAAGCCTAAGCGACCATCTGACCGGTAGCTATGACACACAATGACCACCAGGCAGCAGATGCTCAATGCAGGAGCTGCTGAGCTCAGTGACTTGGCAGTGTTGGTTCTTGGGTGACGTACCCAGAACCAGAGAGACCCTGGAGCCCTCCCACATTCCCTCCCTGGCCCCGATTGTGCACCAATGGGGCCCCTCAGCCTGGCCTGTGCCCTCTCAAAATCCGGGATCCCTTGGGGGATGTTGGAGAGCCGGTTTTGGCCCCCAATCCGCAGGCCAGGCTGAGGGACCCCACCGGTGCATGAATCTGTGCACCGGGCTTCAGTATATAAATAAAAGGTATCCATGAAGTTTTGTGAAAAGACTGGGTATCATTCATTATGGTGACTACTGTCTATTTAATTGCATGAATTAGTATGTCTCACCCTAGGGGCCTGAACCAAAGACCTTAGGAGTTTGGGAGGTTTGGACCAGAGACTCAAGGGCCTTGAGATTTTGCCTAGGACCAAGATAAACTTTTCAAGAAGATGCTTTTTACATGATACCTGTCTCATGGAAACAAGTGAAGTTGGGCCCATTAAAGAAAGGCTAAACTGTTACTTTAGGACAGCAATTTTCAACGTTTTTTCACCTCATGGCACCCATAAACGACTAGTAATTACTAAAATTCTGCGCACCAAAAAAGATTTTTTGCCAATCTGACAAAAAAAAAACAGGTATAATTTTGATTCATTCACATTGGACGGCTATTGTTGTTGGCTGTTGTGCTCTTTTTAATATGACAACCTAAGGCAGTGGTCAGCAAACTCATTCGTCAACAGAGCCAAATATCAACAGTACAACCACTGAAATTTCTTTTGAGAGCCAAATTGTTTAAACTTAAACTATATAGGTAGGTACATTGTTATTAACTTAATTAGGATACTCCTAAGCTTGCCTTTGCTAAAAACGTCCTCAATCTGATTGAGGTACGTTTGCTGAGGTCGACCCCTCCAACTCTCCCATCCACACTCGTCTTGTATACTTGTTTCGTCTATCTCCTTTCGTTCATCCTCTCTATATGTCCAAACCATCTCAACATGCCTTTCTCAATCCTCGACACTACATCTTCTTTCACTCCACGTTCCCTAAAATTACTTAATAAACTTTACTTAAAGTTTTAAGTCAACTTCGTACTGTCCGTGCGCGCCCGCACGTGGTCTTCTGTGGAAGAGCCACACTCAAGGGGCCAAAGAGCCGCATGTGGCTCGCGAGCCGCGGTTTGCCGACCACTGACCTAAGGAAAGAGAGGTCAGTGTCCCTGACTAAATAGTCAGGTATTGCATGTTTTAAAAAACTCTTGCAGCACAGAGGTTGAAACTAGCTGTTTAGGAGAAGAGGACCAAAGGCTCAGCTTTATTGCTTTTGTTAGAATTTTCAAGTCAAGCACTTTTTACAATTGTAGGAAACAGGCTTCTGTGATCCATCTCCAGCATAGCCAACTTTTAATGGAAACGGTTACTCAATTTCCCCAGGGCAAACAGAATGTAGGGCGGAGGGAAGAGGACATAAGAACAAAGAACTGTGTATGGGAGCCACCACCACCACGGTGGAAACCCCCAAGGCACCCGCCTCCAATAGACAGAGGGAGGTGGAGACAACTAGAAAAGGCCTCAGCCCAATTTTTTAAATGTCCCAATGGGAGACAATAAGACCTAGGTGACATATGAGGAAATATTAACCCCATTGTACTTGGCCAATGAGGAACCGGAAGAGGGACTCTCACACCCTAGAGGGATAAAGAGGCTGTGATCACCACTCCGTGTGCCCGTTCAACTGGAGAGACACCCGCTCTTGAGAACTTATTAAGTATGGTCTCGTTTTCACCATACATCTGTCTCTGAGTCCATTATTTTAATTTGAACAGGTGAGCATTTCTCACAACAATGTCTCTTTTTTTTTTTTTTTGGTGGGGAGAATTTTTTTTAATTTTTGAAAATGTCAGTCTGGTTTAATCATGCTAAAATATAAAAGAGGGCAGGACTGATTGGGTTTTCACATACAGGAATTATACAGAAAAGGGGAAAGTTTGTCTGCACTTGGATCAAAATATATTTTATTGACTTTTTTTTTTTTACAGAGAGGAAGGGAGAGGGATAGATCAATACTTTCAAGACAATTGAGGATATCTCAGGGATAACCATATTCAGGAAGCAAAGAAAAACAAAACCAAGGGTAGGTGAGAGAATACAGGACAATCATACAGTTGTCCTTCTTATCTAGATATTACTCTTATTGTTTTGTTTTCATAAGGGAGGGCTTTCCTAACAGTGAGCTGACTCCTACAAATCTGTGGCATTTTGTATATTTCCCCTTCACTGATCTGAAGTTTTCTTCACTGGATATATTTCAATTAAACCTGTGCCTGATATACTAAACACAAAACATGGCTGGGAAATGAGACAACCAGGCTTTTTAAAAAGGTGTACTCCCAATCCCTGTGTTCTATAACTGTTTTCTCACAAAGAATGAGAGATGATGACTGCTTGATAACTCTTTAATAATTACTCCCCTCTTCCACACCTGGATATGTGCACATATCTTCTAAGTCTCCATCTTCCAAATCTAGACAAACTATTTTAAAAACTGAAACCTGTATTTTGTGACCAGTGTCTTACTTGATTAGTTGTTATTGTATTTTTTTGACTCGGAGAAAGCTGATGACTAAGCTGAAAGGTAAGTGTGCAATCCATTCTTTAGTCAAAAAGCACTACTTCAGTTGCCAACAATGTTCCTATGTGTAAGGAATATTGGCTTGCAAAGTTATTTAACATTTCATGGTAAAATAACACCGAATCATGTTAAGATCCTGTTATCTATGTTACCTGATATCACTCTTTTTTAAAATCTGTATTATTATAGGTAAAGGAATGATAATAGTAATAGCTTTTGCCAAATGAAATCTAGTCTAATTCTTACTGTCATAATGGAAATTTTTCTCTGAAAATATCTTTAAGCTTATACTTGATATGCTTTCTAATAGAGAAAAATAGTTCTTGGGAAAGACTCAACAAAAATCTATAGCCTGTGCAATAATATAAAATGCACTTCTAACTCTAGAGAGTTTTGCTCAGTGGTTAGAGTGTCAGCACTCAGACCAAAGGGTCTCGGGTTCAATTCTGGATCAAGGGCATGTACCGTGGTTGCAGACTTGATTCCTGACTTGGGTTGGGGTGGTGGGAGGCAACCAATCGATGTGTCTCCCTCATGTTGATGTTTCTCTTTCTCTCTTGCACCCTCCCTTCCACTCTCTCTAAAAATCAATGGAAAAATATCTTCAGGTGAGGATTTTTTTAAAAAAAGCACTTCTGACCACATTGTTTTTGCTGCAGTTTGTTTCCTGATCATCATATTGTATAGCAATATGTATTACTACCATCGCAAGTGGTATTAATAGAACATTTCATAATTTTTGTCTGGGTTGGGTAGGGGTGAGAGAAAAGATCTGGAAAATCAGAAGTATATTAACTCAAATTTCGGCATATAATTATTCAAATAAAATTTTAATGATTTCAGGTCAATACAACTGAAAATGTAGTGTAAGGGCACTTCCTGCTAAATTTCAAATCACAGGTTGTGGGCCATTTCTGAGCAGAAGCATCATATCCTACTGAATATTCAGTTTAATCACTAAAATGATTGATGGTATCATGGTGAGAGGTGGGGAAAAACAATGATCAGCTCATAGAATGTGGCTAAATAGGAAAACAAAAACAATGCAAATAATAAAGAAGCTACAGATATTAAAATAATAATACAATCCCAAATATCCATCTCTTAAATTACTAGAAAAAAATTACAGCAAATATAGTCTTCTCAGATTTGGGTAAATTTATTTTCATTTTAGAGTGATTTTTAAGCCCTATATCCAATGAAACCAATTTTAAAAGCTCTATGAGAAATGAATATTTAGATAGCCATGACACTTTTCTTAATAAAAAAAAAAGAAAAAGTTTAAATTTCTGAATGAGCAAGTCAATCTTTTGTGGGTAGAGGCCCTGCTTCTTCATGATCTTCCACTTGAGATCTAACAACCACAAGAGAAGCAGCTGGATATCTGTTTAGTTTTTGTTCATTCACAAATTCCAAGTCGCCATAGATACTCAGCTTCTGCAAGAGAAAATCAATGCATATTAGAATCTGGATAATTAGAAACTTCACTAAGTCAGTCTTCAATAACAATTTAATCAATGGATATTTTGTAAAAAAAAAAATTCTATAAATGTCCTCAAGAATGAAGAATGCTTTTATTCAAAGTGTTACAGATAGGTGATTCAGCTGCCAGTAATGGCAAAGAAAACTTTTCCACATGTCCCAAGTTAAAATATTTAGAAGCATAACAACAGAGATCAAGAAAAACTGCTCAGGTTTAAATGGAGTTAGTGTGGTGAAAATATGTGCTATTTTAAAAGGGTGTGAGAATAATGAATTTACATGAAACATTTTAACACTGAAAGGTCTTCACAAACATATAAAAGCTCCTTAAATTATCATATCCAAGAAAATAGTAAAACAACAAAATAATTAATGCATAAAATATTCACTGCAAATGTCATAAAACTCACTGGAGTATAACAGTTATGTCTAACTTCTTTTGAAAGTAGGTCTATTTTAGATGTAGGTTATCTCCTAAAAGCAGAAAAGCTAAATGAAAAGTATTTACTAAGAAAGAGGATAGATTTGTTGTTAACTTGTACAGCAATACATCTCTGTGTCATGAGTGAAACACTGAAGTGCTGACTTTACTGAGAAGATAAGTGACTGATTATAGAGCAAGAACCATATGAAAATACTTAGTATCGGAAAGGTGCATTTAAAAGACGTTGAAGAAAGAGCACTTTTAAGATTTTAAGTATCCATCAATACTGATCTGTGCTACAACATGGATGAACCTTGAAAACATCATGCTAAGTGAAAGAGGCCAACCATCAGAGACCACATATTGGTTGCCTATGGCTAGGGTGGTGGTGTGGTGGTGGTAGTGCTTGGGAAAAAATGGGGAGTGGCTACGAATGAGTATGAGTTTTCTTTCTGGGGTAATAAAAACATTCAAAAAGTGATTGCCATGATGATTTCTTCCTTGTTTCATGTTTCCGATATGGTTTGCTGACTACTGTTCAAGGCAACAAGGAGATAGCCCAGTACCTTATATTTTTCTATTAAGAGAATACCCTCCAGATAGATTCAGTGGTTGATGGACTGGACATGGATCTGATATTGTGTGGCCTCCTTAAAACCCAGAATTAACACGTGATAATCTGTTCTGGGGCACTGTGAAAGAAAAACTCTACCTAATAACATTTAAAGACCTTGAAAGAGCAACCAAGAACTGTGAGAATGATTTCAAACATCAACATGAAAGCAAGTGAAGAGATGGAGGTGAGGTGGGAGATTGTATAAAGGGAACCACTTAATTCCTCATCCCGGTAAGAAGACATTAGATAATGTCTAAAGCTGGCAAAACAAAGCAAAACAAAACAAAACCAAAAGTTAAAATTTAAGAAAATGTTAACTACTTGGAAAAAATTTTAAACTATTGGCTGTAGCCCAGTTGGTGTGGCCGTGATTGAGTGCCGACCTATGAACCAGGAGATCAAGGTTCAATTCCCAGTCAGGGCACATGCCTGGGTTGCAGGCTTGATCCCCAGTAAGGGATGTGCAGAAAGCAGCCGATCAATGATTCTCTCATCTTTGATATTTCTCTTTCTCCCTCTCCCTTCCTCTCTGAATCAGTAAAAACATATTTAAAAAAAACCTATTGGATGTAGTTTATCTCAGAAGTGAGGAAGAGGAAGGTTTAATTTATGTTAATGTATTACTTCTAAAAGTTAAAAATTTTAATTAAAAATATTTTTAATTTAGTAAATATGTATTTGAGCTTTAGGCCTGGCTCTGCCACTAATCAGTTATGTAATCTTTGATAAGTTATTTACTTAAATCTTTTCTAAAACTCAGTTTCTTAACAGAATTTGGATTAAAACGCTATGGCATTTATATTGTTTTCTGATTGTCCTACTCTTTTATGAGACTTAAAGCTTCTAAATGGCAACGTTCTTAGTCTTTTTTTTTAAGAGGAAGAAAATATGTTTATTATAGTTTAAGACATATTTCATCCTACTTCCTGACCGTTAGAAGCCTTAAACTTTGTTCCTTTTTGACCTTATTCTTCATTGTACCTTTAATCCCTTGAACAGGGTCTGACACATAATAAGTTACCCATAAATATGTGATTCACTAATATTAATGTTATTAGGAGTTTTCTAATAACTGAATACATGAAATCAGATGATTATGGTTTTGACAAACAAAGATAAAGGCAGCATACATATAAAGAGATAACAATGAGGCAGCATGTATAGCAAGGGTGGGCAACCTTTTTTCTGCGAAGGGCCATTGGGATATTTATAGCATCATTCCAGGGCCACACAAAACTATCAACTAAAAATTAGTCAGCTATATTTGCTCAAACATTTCATTAACTCACCCCTAATGCCTTGGCAGGGCCAGACCAAATGACTTTGCGAAACCAAATGTTCTCCATCCCTGATGTGTATCAACATCTGTTGCTATAACAACGTTCTGAGGCTGCCTGATCTCTAAAAAGGAATATCCAAAACTGCTAACCCCTGTCCTTGTATGTTGTTTGTTCTGCCTGACAAGGACCACTATGGAATGACAACTCTTTATTATTTTAAATAGATAACTCAACAAGAGAAAGTGTCATCCCATTAAGTTTCAAAAATGGCATCACAAATGTGAAATAACAGAGGAAAAAATGTGGAGAAAAGAAGATCAAAATCTTTATGCATCAAGTCACTCAAAATGACACTGCTTTAAGATTAACAAAGGAAATGAAATTCTTTGCCAACTCTTTCTGGCCATTATGATCAAATGATATATGATGAATATCTAATTATGTGCAAAGCGGGTTAAAAATAAATTATTTCAGAGCTTTCCTAAATAAGAAAAAGCTGTTCATAAATTTCTAAGACCACATTCCAGATATCTATTACAACCATTTTAAGCTTTGTTTGTAACTGAAAAGAAAGCTTTTTATATTTCACCAGAGGCATGTTGCACGAAATTTGTGCACTAGAGGCAGGGGTGGGGGGTGGTCCCTCAGCCCAGCCTGTGCCCTCTCACAGTCTGGGACCCCTCACTCCTTACCACCAGAGCCTCTCCTGCCACTGCTGCTGCGCTTGCCAGCCGTGAGCCTGGCTTCTGGCTGAGCAGCACTCCTGTGGAAGCTCACTGACCACCAGGGGGCAGCTCCTGCATTGAGCATCTGCCCCCTGGTGGTCAGTGCATGTCATAGCGACCGGTTGTTCCGCTGTTCGGTTGATTTGCATATTAGCCGTTTATTATATAGGATGTTTAAGCTCCAAGATACTAGGTTTGTACTTAAGAGAGACACACTCTCCCAGCAGGCTTATGATTTCCTATAAGCACACAGGATCATAGATGTAAATAACATAACACAATCTAAATAATACTGCTCACAGATGAGTTATAATTGTACTAGAGGCCTGGTGCCGTGCACTCCGAGGGTCCCTCAGCCCGGCCTGCGCTCTCTCGCAGTCTGAGAGCCCTCTGGGGACATCCTTAGCGCTGCTGCAGAAGCGGGAGGCTCCCACCACCACTGCTGCACTCGCCAGCAGTGAACCCGGCTTCTGGCTGAGAGGCGCTCCTCCTGTGGGAGTGCACTGACCACCAGGGGGCAGCTCCTGCATTGAAAGTCTGCCCCTAGTGGTCAGTGCGCCTCATAGTGATTGGTCATTCTGCTGTTTGGTCAATTTGCATATTAGCCTTTTATTATATAGGATAGTTAAAATGGAGTCTCATGTCACTATGGAGAGGGGTCAGAAACAATTTATGTTCTAATAAAAAAATCAATGAAAAGGTTTTATAAAGAAAGTAAAGTTTAAAATAGGTAGCTTTTGGCCAAGAAAATAACTTTCTAATGCTAAGTTCTCAGTTATTTTTACAGTAAACAAAGAAACAAAACCTTAATATGTAGTAAAAATTATTTATACTAAAAATAAATCCATTCTAATGACAACACGACAATAGTTCTATATGATAGGATGAGTGATTTCTTTTCTGCTTCTTTATATGTACTTTACAAATTTCTACCGTAAGTATACAGAATTTTTATAATAAAACTAGAGGCCTGGTGCATGAAAATTCGTACACTGGGCGGGGGGGTGCCAGCCTGTGCCCTTTTGCAGACTAGGAGCCCTTGTTGGATGTCCGACTGACAGGACTAAGCCGCTGTCTGGCCTCCCTCTGCAGGAGGCGACCCACAGGCCAATCAGGGAATGGCACTAGTCAGTGAGTGGCTGGCCCTGCCCCCCCATTGCTGTCCGTTCTGCCATTCAGTCGATTTGCATATTAGACTTTTATTATATAGGATAGGACATATGGTTGAACACAACATTAATACCTAGCCAAAGTGTGGTTTCACATACAAAGTAAAGCCTAAAATGAATGATTCCAAATGGCTGTTTTCCACACATTTTTCTAGAAAATGTATCTTCTTAGAAAAGTCTAGCTCCATGAGGTTATAGCCATAATTTTAATTGTTAAGTGTAGGAAGAAGAGCTCTAGAGAGGAGCAAGAAAGTAACATCGCAAGGCAGATATGTGTAGGAATGTAACAGGTGCCAAGAGAACTCTATATGGGTGTTGATTCTTTAGACTCTATGATCACAGGAATCTAGGGGGCATACGTGGGAAAAGTTGTTCCCCAAAGAATTTGAAAATAAGGGGAGAGAATGTCTCACAGAATTAAAGCTATACAATCAAAATAAAATTTATCACAGCAGAGACAACATCTAAAAGGAAAAGAAAGATCAAGTCTGTGAAATTTCCTCAAATCTCTAAGATAGAACCAAAACCACAATGAGAGGCACTGATATGTCTAAACAACACCAGAATAGGAGATCGCGTCCATAGGCAAAGAGGTAAGAGAGGACAACAATGAAATGTCCATTTAAAACTACTTGGATAGAAAATGCTCAATTTAGTCAGTAGGCCTGGGGACCAGAATCCAGGTTGTGGTGGATTTATAAAGGTAAATTTCACCTGAGGCCAGCCATTCAGTCTTTCTTGGCAAGAATCAGACCAATCTCTATGTGTATCTTTTTCTTTCTTTTTTTTAACCTAGGGGTAAGGAGAAGGAACTAATGATGTAAAGAGGAAGGAATAAAGTGCCACATGGTGGAGAGGCCAACAAAGATTTATTACTATGGTTTTGTAGCTTTTTTGCCATAGGATTTAGAGTGCATGGGGTAACTAAAGGAAGTAACAGGCAATGAAAATCCTATGTAAGATGGGTAATTTCATTTTATCAGAAATAATGAAATGACTAAAATATGGACATCAGCACTAAAAATAACACAAATAATGGAGCAAGAAGATGTCATTAGTATACTCCTATCATAAGCAGATGAGTTTTAAAGAAATTTACACAATCTCTAATACTTTAATTCCTGATCCTGTTTAATTTTATCCATTTGGTTTATTCTAATTTAAATTATTTTAATCAGGGTAGTTCCTTATAGTACTTCCCTGATAATTAGCTTATTCTTGTCTGTACCTGGGAAAACTGCCTACCCTCTTCTCTGCTAATTCACATCTACCCATTCTTCAAAGTTCAGATCAAGATTCAAGTTATCTAAAAGCCTTATCTGACAATCCAGCACATGGTGTCTGCTTTCCTTAACACTTTAAACATTTATTATTTGTACCACTTAAAATCCTTATCAGCCATAGGAAAGATGGTAACAGGAAAAACACAGGAGTTGTGAATCAAAAGATAAGAGCTCATTCCAGCCTCAATACTTTCACTGCTGTGCAATCCCAGGAAGGTTAACTGGCTTTGTAAGCCTGCTAAGCCATCTATAAAGTAGATAATAGAACATACTATAGAGTACTGCTGGATATGTAAGATATATGAAAATACTTTATAAAATTTACAGAACGATATAAGTGTTAGTTATCAACATTATCCTGTTCCAATTTCTAGCTGCTTGTATCATATATCTTAAAAATATAAAATATAAATCTTAATTATTCATGCATAAACCTTATATTAAAACATATCTTTATAGTCTGTTAAGATAAAACTGTTCAAGCACCATGCTAGGCACATGCCGACTACTTATTAGATTCTATTTTAACTTTCCTCCTTTCTTCTTTTCATTCTTTTTCTATTGCACTTTCGAGGCACAAGAGAACTAAAGTTTATTTCATTTGGAGTTGAATTAGCCCATATTTATTATATAAATAATTCTTTCCTTGAAAGCTAAATTGAATAATCAATCATAGACTTTTCCAAAATAAAACTCCTTTACCTTAAAAGTCAAATATCTTGGGTCAATTAAATTTTCATTATCAAGGAACTCATAATAGTTTTCTATCTCTTTCAGGGTTAGATTCCAGAACAAAAGAACTCAAAATCAAATGCTCTGGCCTTGCTGCTTCTAAAGCAGCAATTACTCTTTAAAATTTGCCGCAATTAGTTTAAAATGCTAAGTGGGTATACAAGACTTCTTTCTTAAATATCACCTTAGAAACTGATGTCAACAGGTTCTGAAAAGTCTCAAAGAACCAGGGAGAGAAACACTTTAAACTAGCCAACATATATGTAACTACGGTCGTTAGCTTTACAGAAAACTGGAACAGTGATTCTTGTGCTGCAAACCTGTAATTTTCATGTGTGCCAACCCCCAGGTATGTGACTGAAACCACCAAATCTTCTCTCATTCTATTAGTAAGAATGAGAGAAAATAGGCATTTAAAATGATTAATCATATGGCGCAGTCTTCAAATGGCGTATTAGAATTCAATCTACCTCAGAGGGAACATACTGCTCCACAGCTGTAGCAACAGTTGCACAACAAATCCAAAGCAATACCATCACCGAGAGGACAAGAGTTGTGGTTAAAATCCACCCAGAGTTACTGAAAAAAAAGAAAGAAAGAAATATCAACAATTAGTCATGTTAAAATTTCATAAGAAACAGGAGATTCTTAATAATTAAAGGCAATCAAGGTTAAGTACTTAGTTTAATAATCTAATTAAAACTTTACGGTTACTACCTTTAAAACTATTTTAAAAAAACATACTCATAGAAGGAACTATTATAATAGATATTAGGGGCCCTGCCCGGTTGGCTCAGTGGATAGCGCGTCAGCCTGGGGACCGAAGGGTCTATGGTTCAATTCTGGTAAAGGGCACGTACCTGGGTTGCAGGCTCCTCCCCAGCCCTGGCTGGAGCTCATGCAGGAGGCAACCAATCCATGTGTTTCTCTCACATTGATATTTCTCTTTCCTTTACTCTTCCACACTCTCTAAAAATTCATGGAAAAATATCCTCAGGTGAGGATTAAAAATAAAATAAAATAAAATTTTTTTAAAAATTTAAGAAAAAATAGATATTAGGATAGTATGAAACCCTTCCCTCCATTTCTCAAGTTTCTGTACATGGCTGCATCACTTTTGCAACTTAAAAAAAAAAATCAGACATACTGGCTTTTTGTTAAATGTATAAAATTAAAAAATTATTGTCAAGGGTAATTTTAAATTACTAAATGAGATAAGAAAAATGAAAGTGTCTTATAAATTAGACACTGCTATAAAATTTTATATGTATTGTTTTGCAAGTTATTATGATGATACTAGCTTTAAGAAAACCCAGTATCTCAGAATTAAGGTATAGAATAGGTAAATTATGAAATTATCATGTTTCATAAAGGGATTCACAACAGGCTTCCAGAAGTTAGCTTCTCTAGAGCATTTCAAATACTTGATCTGCCCTAATTTACTTACAATTCAATTTATAAGAGTATATCTATTATGAAGTATTCTGCACCCATTACAGCACATCTTAGTAAAGATAAAATTACATCTTTATGATTAAAATATTTTTTAAAAATGTTTTTTATTGATTTCAGAGAGAGAAAGGGAGAATGAGAGAGAGATAGAAACATTGATCGGCTGCCTCCTGCATGCCCACTACTGGGGATGAAGCCTGAAACCCAGGCAAGTGTCCTGTTTGGAAATCAAACCATGACCTCCTGGTTCATGGGATGACCCTGGTTCATGACACAAAGTTCAACCAACTGAGCCATGCCGACTGAGCTGATGAAAATAGCTTTTTTAAAAAAAATAGTATTTTTTTACTGATTTTAGAGAGGAAGGGAGAGGGAGAGAGAGAAACATTAATGATGAGAGAGAATCATCAATCAGCTGCTTCCTGCACGCCCCCTACTGGGGATCAAGCCCTAAACCTGGGCATGTGCCCTTGACCAGAATCAAACCCAGGATCCTTCAGTCCACAGACAAAGGCTCTATTTACTGAGCCAAACCAGCTAGGGCTGATTAAAATATCTTTTTAAAAAATATATATTTTTATTGATTTCAGAGAGGAAGGGAGAGATAGAAACCTCAATGATCAGAGAGAACAATCTATTCACTGCCTCCTGCACACCTCCTACTGGGGATCGAGACCACAACCTGGGCATGTGCCCTTGACCAGAATCAAACCCAATTTCCATTCTGGAGGCTAAGGGCAACTTCATATCAACCAAGTGATATAATAAAAAGAAGCTCTGGCATAAGGGTCAGAAGACCAGATTCTACTGACTGGCTAGGTGATCCTATATGCAATCATGGAAAAATCATGATCTTTTAAAGAGCAAACAGCTATGATAGAATAGAATGAGTAGAAGATATAGAATTTGAATACCTAGATTTGAATTTTAATATAATAGATATATAACCTTGGGGTAGCTGACTCACCTCTCCGATTTACCTACTTATCACAGGGTACACTGTTCTAAGAGTCAAATGAGATCATTGAGGGGGGAAAAGCATTTAAAAAATAATTCTTTTTATTAAAATTTAGGATACTATCATATTTAGCTTTCATAAAACTATCAAATTCCAACAAAAATCCTAAATACTCAAGAGAGAAAAACTGTCCTTTTTAAAGCAAGGTCAAAAGCAGGTTTAGAAATGAAAGGAAGGGAAATTTTAAAGTTAAACCCTTATTTTCTTACCCAGTCTTTAAAGACTTTTGTTCAGTAAAAGGTATTAATTTTTAGATTCCAATATAACAGGAGAAACCAAGATGGCGGCATAGGTAAACACCGGAAATTGCTGCCTCGGACAACCACTTCAAAAATACAACTAAAAGACAAAACGGACATCATCCAGAACCACAGGAAGGCTGGCTGAGTGGAAATTCTGCAACTAGAAGGAAAGAGAAAAGCACTGAGACTCAGAGGAGGTGCAGAAGTAAAGTGCAGAGGTACGGAGGCACACGCCGAAAGGGCTGGCAACTGAGGACGCAGCGCACTTGGAGAGGGCTGGCAGCTGAGGACACAGTTGTCTTTTTCCATCGGGAGGGAGTCTCAAGCTCCCGAATGCTCGAACTCGTTCCGGGCGAGTCTCTGGGGACCCAGACTCATACAGGAGAAACTGGATTATCTGGCATCGGGTGGAACTCGAGGGCGGCTTTCTCTCAGAGGTGCTTGCAGCGATTACCGGGACACTGAGACTCAGGCCTCTTAGGGTAGGACTGGGGAGCATCCATAGATGCTTGCTCCGGCCTGTTGATCCCCTGAGACCCCGCTCCACCCAAGCTGTGCACAGAGGCTTTTGCATATGAAAGGCCTGGCCCTTTGCAACCTGAAAATTACCTAACAAACTGCAGCTGACTCAGAGAGACCCAGAATTTCTAAAAGAAGGCCCAAAGCCCCACAGCAGTTTGCACTGGTTCACAGCTGGTCCTCATCTGGACAACTCCAAACCCCAAACAAAGGAGAGGAATCTCTCCATAGCTCCTGCTGGGTAGCCTCAGGCAGAGGCTAAATTAGAACCTCCTTAGAGATCCAAGCGCCAGTGTACCCAGTGGGAGGAGTG